CCTCCCACCTGGCGACTGTGTCTACTGGAAACGACGCCTTCACAAAGATGCCGTCCAGCCTTGTCGGAAGGGGCCTTACCAGGCACGGTTAACTCACCCTTGTGCCACTAAGCTTAAGGGCATTGACTCCTGGATTCATGTTTCTTGCCTAAAGAAGACACTGCCTCCTGCCTGGACCTCGCAACTAACCAGAGACCTGAAGCTCAAATGAACTAGACAGAGCCAGGAGGAGGAAGCAAACAAAACCTTGCTGTGGACAGCTTTCCCGAGATGTGGGGCCCAGTCTGCAGAATCTTCCTTTTTATTTGCCTTTTTCCATGTGTCAATGCTTTTGATTCAAATGTTTTTCTCCAAAAGTCAGGTGCTGACTTCTAAAATGAACCCAGTTGTTGGATTTGTGGACAATGGCCCGTTTCCAGCACTTCTGAGTTGCCTTGGTGGTTGTCCCCATTACAAGGATTCAACTGGTTGGCTTTAAGAAAGCTCGACTTAGAAGAAGGAAAGGCTTGTATTACTGTATTACTTCAGAAACCATGAATATCACTGACTGGAACCTGCACGAATGGCCCATCAACCAAGCCTGAAACGGCTCTAGACTTTGCTGTTTGCTTTTTCTTCATGCTGCTAAGGCCCCATCTCTCAGGAAAGAACCAGAAGGTCAGAGCTGACGAATGGCACCTTTCGTCCTTTGGGGAGTACAATTCCCCAGTTATGGGGCAGATTTATATGGTCAACACTGGATTGTGGACGTCTGAAAACCAAAGCCCCATTATGTTGGGAACAGCTTAATTTTACAAAGACGAACTTACCTAATGACACCCACCGGCGTGGATGGGGCACCGCGTGATTCTTGTGTGGCAGCTGTCATTGTAAAGGCTAGTGACTGTGTTTCAGCTCAGTGTTACAGCACCCTGGGTCCTGGCGAGAGACCAAGCAGCACTTGGAGGGTTGGAGAACTCAGATTTATTACACCAGGGGGCCCAGAGGAGTTAACACTCCAAGCTCTGGACCCCGTCTGTAGGTTTACACAGGCTTTTATAGGCTGCCAGTCTAGACTTTGCAACATCATGTGCAAATAAGGTGTAACAAAGTCGACCAATCAGGAATGAGCTTTTTAGACATGGGCCAATCAGGAGTGAGCTTTATGCAAATGAGGTGTCACAAATGGACCAGTCAGGAGTGAGCTTAGGAAACCAATAGAACCTTAGGAGTAAGTTTCACTTTCCTAGAAGCAAACCATTTCATAGATGCACAAAAGTAAGATAGAGGCGCTGGGCCAGGGAACCGGATGGCACTGGTGGAAAAGTAGTGGCCCTGCCTAGGGGTCCTGCCGGTCTTTTCATGGGGCTTCCCACTTCAGTTGGTTGGGAATTGACTGGGATACATAGCCTGGTGTTTACTGGGTAGCCCCAAAGGGAACCCCATGGCTTTGTGACACTAACTTCTGGCCGTGGATCCCTCCCAGGTGGAGAGGATGCTGCCTCTTAGGACTTCCCTGGACTCAGGGGCATATTCACACAGCCCTCAGCACAGCCTCTGGAAACTAACCCTTGTAAGAAGCAAGATGGGCTCGGTTAGCCATTTGGCATCTATTTTTCTTCCTGCGCTGGGAGTTGGAGATGTCATTACTCATGTGGAAGCTTTAGCCAGAGTTTCCCCAAGAAGCCTTAAATGACAGTCAACAAGCTATAAATCTTTTAAATTTGAAGCGTCTTTATTGAGAAAGGCAGTCTTACAACATCACATGGCTCTCGACATCATCACAGAGTCTCAAGGCAGTGCCCGCACAGTGACACAAACTGGATGTTGCGTTTTTATACCAGATGAATCCCTTGCTGTCACGGACTTAAGAAGTCATATGAAAATGCAAGTAAATGCTATGAATGACTGGCGGTGCCAGAGGCAGGGGGTTGGGGGTAGGCAACGTGGATAAAGGGGGTCAAAAGGCACAAACTTCCAGTTGTAAAAGAGAGAAGCCCTGTGGATGTAATACGCAACACGGCGACTATAGTTAATACTACTGTACTGAATATTTGAAAGTTGCTGAAAGAGGAGATCTTAGCAGCTCTCATCACAAAGGGGGAAATTCTGTAGCTATGCCTGGCGATGGGTGTTAACTAGACTCATTGTGGTGATCCTTCTGCAGTGCGCACACCAATGTCAAGTCATCAAGTTCTACACCTCAGACTACTACAATGCTGTGTGCCAATGATACTCAAAAGATAATAAAATTAGAAAAAGGAAGGAAGTAGGGTGTCGGCCAACGGTGAGAACTGAGCACCAGCCCTACCTCCCCCACCGCCCTAGCACGCACACCCAAACTCCCTAAACATGGTGAAAAAGTAGTTTAAAGGGTAAACTATTTTTCGAGCCCAGAAGAATAGTGTCCTCCGGGTGTGGACTCCAAGTTCTGAGGCGTCTCTGCAGGGAAGATGGTGTGAGAAAGTTGCTGGGAAAGGCGGGCTGTGGGTTCTGTTGGAAGGAGGCAGGGACCGGGGATCAGGCACCACTCCCCCACCCCCACCCCCGGGGCAGCCATGAGGACCCACCGCGGGGCATCCTTTCTGGTGGCCCCTTGGCTCCTTGCTCTGTCCCCACCCACCGCACTCAGGCCTCCTGGCTGAAGGAAGCTGTGGCAGCAAGCAGCCTCACCTGCGCCCACCTCCCTCCCTCATCCCAGGGGGGAGCAGGAACCGTGCCCCAGGGGCTCAACCAGGGTCTCAACGAGAGCTGGAAACCTGGAAGCCGGCCGAGGCATTTTCACAGGATGCCCGTGGCAGTGATGATAAACGCAGGCTGTGCTGTCAGTGTGCGAGTGGGAGGCTGGTCCTCATTGTCCTCGCCGAGTGGGACATCACCCTGACCCTCTGACTCTGACCAGGCCCACTTCACATCGACCACAGGAGCACAGGACGGAGATGGACTCAAAGCGTGGTGAGAAAATGCCACAGATAAAGGAAATGTCTCCCCTGGGTGTTCAGAATGTTCACCCCTCCTTCCAAGAGAAAGGAAAAGTAAAGGCAGAGATGAAAACCTTTCCATCTCAGCAGTGAGCGAAGACATGCACACGACGGCAGCGTCACACGTGTGAACTTGGTAATAAAGACATGGGGAACACTCCTTGCTGGTAAAATACTTGAAAAACGAGACTAGGAATAAGTTATGCTTGACAGCGAGAATCGACCCAGGGACCGTTTTGGTAAGCAATTTAGCAAAGTGTTTCAGGAGTCACGGAATCATTTACTCTGGTGCAGAAATCCAATTTTGAAATTTTAACCTGGAAAATAATCCATATTAGGGGGAAAAAAGTCAGCAGCAGGAAGACATCAATACCTATCGATCTCTCTAGATATAAAGTGTATTAAAATATGTATATGAATATAAACAAAATAGGTGTTACATGTGCTGTATATAACACAGAGGCATGGCAACAGTGCAAGGGTTTGGTGAAACATAATGTGTAACTGAATGCTTTTTGTATATGTATGTATGTTACAGTTATAATTATGAACAAAATCTAGCCACGGGGAAAATGCATCTGGTTTAAAAGCAGACAGATGTCCGCTGTGCACAAGGTGCCAAGAGTGACGTGGTGACACAAACGAACAAACACAGCTGGGGAGGATGGGGGAAGCACCAGTGTGTGTGCATATGTATATAAAATCTAAGAAATACAACACACTAGGGAATGTGACAGAAGCAGACTCACAGACACAGAGAGCAGACCAGTGGCCCCCGGCGGAGGAGGGGGACAATCTAAGGTCGAGCGGAGGAGGCTGAACGCGACTGGGCGCCGATCGGCTACAGGACACGTCGCACAACACGGGGAATGGAGCCAGTAACTTGTAATAACAGATGGCGTGTAAACTTTAAAAATCGTGTAAGATTTTTTTTTAATTTTGAAGATTTTAATAAAAAATAATAAACCTGATTTAAAGACTTGGTGTAGGAAAAACGATGTAAAATGGCTCAGTAATTTTTTTAATATTGATTGTGTGTTGAAATAATATTTTTGATATATATTAGCTTAAATGAAGTACATTTTTGGGGGGGGTCTGTTTATCTATTTACTTATTTGTTCATCCGTTCATGTGTTTAATGGAGGCACTGGGGATTGAACCCAGGACCTTGTGCATGCTAAGCATGCGCTCTAGCGTTAAGCTATACCCTCTCCCCCCTTAAATAAAATATATTGTTAAAGTTAAAAAAAAAAGCACCAGTATACCGTGCAGTGCATCAGCCTGGGGAGACATGGGGCTGCACCAGCCCCGTGCCGCTCCCTCCTCGCCACGCCCACTGGCTGGCGTCTCCCCAGAGCGCAGGGCATCGTCCACCACTGTGTCCCCGGAGCTGGTGTGTGCCAGGTGCACAGAAGGCGCTGGACAAATGCGTGTTGAGTGAATCCCAGGGCAGGCTCTCACCCACGTGTGTTTTGTTTCTCTTTAGATTTTTGTCAGGAAGACTCACAGTTCCACTGCCCTTCCACTAGCAAGAGATCGAGGACCACACTTTATTTGGAGGATGTTAAGATTTTATTTCCCCAAGATCACAACGTATTTTCACTGCTCCGTGGCACTCATCATTTTTCCTGTGCGAGAAACTCCTTTGAACACACAATTCTTTCCGATTTCTTATCTTTGGCCAAATTATGTGTAGATAACAAAGTACCGCAGAAGCCAAACATGCAGCCTATCAACAGGGTGCACTACTTCCATTCTTTAGAAATAAAAGATTCGTCCGTTACTTCCCCTGACACGTCAGCTACGTAGAGTGAGTATGCTGAG